AATACCAACCGGTATCTGCGCTGGATTGCGGATGTATACGGCAGGAAGCTTTGTGATTCCCGACTTCCTCCCGTAAACGTCTCGTCGTCGCCCGGCATACGTGCAAAACCGGGCCCCGTGATGAGGAAACGTTTTCAATCTCTCGCTGTCGCTGTCGATTCTCATCGGCGGATTAACGGACAGAGAAACGAGCGAGCCGACCGTCCGTGGATATTATCTCCTCGCCGCGTCTCACTCTTCGTTCGTGTGCAATACTGTCGGTACCGTATATTAACCGGCTTGACGATACCCGTTTACGACATAAGAATCTGTTATAACGCGCCGTCGAATAGACAATTTACATGTTAAAACTTTGCTAGGATTACTTTTAGCTATAAATGAAGTTTAGAATTAGAATTAGAAAATTATTCAAAATAGACACAAACAGATCACGTATCAATTTTTTAGCTAAATCCTGATAGGTATACACTATCGCTCAAAAGTTCCAGCACACTATCCATTTATGGAAATTTCGTAATATAAAGAATAAAGTATGAATATATAGTTTGCATGTATTAGGTTTATTTAATTTATTACTAAATATTTTTATTAAAACCTGAAACTCAAAGCCTAATCTCCTTAGATTTTAATAACAAAAGTAAAACTCTTGGCATTCATTTGATAAATTTTTTAATTGTGTTAATCAAAGAATTGTATTTAATTTTTACTAGAATAATTATATACTATTTTTTATTGTTAGAATATTTATTATTACCATAATATCCAAATATTTAGTATCTAGCAAAATTTTAATTTCAACTGATATACAGTGACAGCAAAAAGTATTTGTACAAGGAAATTTATTATAAAAAAAGGCTTATTTGTAGAAAATAAATATTAATTAGCAATTTTATACAATGAACACATTTTGTTTTAATATAAACAAACGAGCTTAGCATGTATTCCTGATTTTAGAAGCTAAATTTTTCGGCTGTACAAATACTTTTTGACCATTCAAATACAATTTTTAATTTTCGCTTATTTTTCGGATGATATATTTTGTATAATTAATACACATCATTTTGGTATATATAATTTTAAAAAACATACAGTCTATTTTATTCTTTATGAATAAATTGTTAATTATCCAACAAGAAATGATCGTTAATTAAACGTCGAATTGACGTCAAATTGGTGTTAAAATCATCAAATTTATATCAATTCGACATCAATTCGATGACTCATTTTTCGCTGGATAATATTTACTTTTTAAGAATAAAGTTTTTTAAAAAAATATTTTCTCTGTAACGAATACTTTTTGTACTCACTGTACATGATATTTGTTAATTTAAAAAATGTACTTATAGTTTCCATCTTTAATTATTTTTCGACAATTCGTAACTTTATTGCACATTTATACGTGACCAAAAATACGAGAATATATATCACATCATAATTCCATATTTTACATATAAAAAAATGAAATTGTTAGCAAAAACGTAACACGTGCTGCAACCTTTGAGTGATAAGATATATAGATGCTAATTTAATAAACAGAATTTTTATATCCTTTAATAATCCGACACTCTATTTTAACGAAGCATGAGTGAAAGAAACAATTCTAACGTTATTAATCATAATGGGTACTCTGATTCGAACGTTTGCGAGCCTCTTCGTATTCCATCGCATTCAAATCGATTATGTCTAAGAATGGATTTCTCCGTGGATAATTGGCAGTAATCGCGGAACTTCCTGTATCGCCCATGTGGACAGGTGCATTTTCTAGACATCGTTATGATCGGATGCCGGAGACGGAGAGGGAGAACGATTAAATGAATGAGATCTTATGGCAATAGGGAAGCGGAAAACTGTGTGTCTTTTATAACGCCCAGTAAAATGCCCCGTTAAAAGATCCTGGGTCGATCCCACGAATTTAACGATTCAGTCCTCCTTCCCGGACAAAGTACGTTATAACTACATCGTAACCGGTGTTCCCTCAATATACCTAATTGCGACGTGCATGTCCGTTCAACAAATAGTCTTACCGCTCGCTCGATGGCATATCATCTGACTGAAATACGGGAAATGAAGATTGTACGCAAAGGACGTACAGAAAACAACCGTACACGCAATGTTTCAATTCGAGAGTAGAACTGGTCACGATTTTTCTTAAAAGCGGAAATTCATCTTACAATTAGTTTTGCAATATATTTTTTCACAAAACCATACTTACTTAATTTCAATTTTATAAATTGCTTTCTCTCTTACGCACTTATCTTATTGTAAAAAAAAAGTTTTCGATTACGATATTAAATTTCCTCGCCAAATTTATTATTTAAAAAATTAATAATGCGTGTAAAAAGGCTTTAAAAAAAAATTGCCACTTACGAGTTAGAGGTAGAGCGTGCCGACACGTCGCGGTGCCACGACAGTGACAGCCAGACGAGGCCCACATTTAGTCGGTGGCAGCGGTGCAGTCGTGGCGGGCGGCGGAGTCTCAGGTCTTGTGCAGCCGAGGCCGCTTCCACCTCGTAGCTCCCAGACTAAATTCGTCAGCGATCGTGGCCTGCTTAAACGTCTCGATCTGGATTTCGTAAAATATCGAGACAATATAATAAAAACATATCGCAAATATTATTGGAATATTTTTATCCTATTTCAGCTAATATAACCGAAAATAATGTGTGTAAATTGAAATTGATTTTATATTCTGTGAAACTTTTGTAGGCCGGTATTCATAGTCAGATCTTATATTCAAGACCGTCTTAAGTACAGTCTTAAGAAGTTACGAACCAATCAGAGGGCTGTATTAGCATCTTAAGTCATTACTTGAGACAGTCTTGAAATAAGAACGGACTATAAATACCGTCCACAGTGAATTATTGCACTCTGAAAAGTGAAATCTCACTCTTAAAGATTGAAAATCGAACCATCCTTTTTCAAGACCCGTTCAAATTTCATTCTTTAAAGTGAAGATTTCAAAGACTTTAGACAATATGCATAGTCAAATATATATTATAAAAAGAGATAATATAATCATAACTTTATTTAATTTTTTAAATAATGCCGTAACAACTTGGAATTATAATAAAAGTACGATATAATAATTCCAAGAAAAGTAAATGCATTCAATTATGTTCTTTACTTAATAAAAGAATAAAAGGCGTGATTAATAATCACAGAAATAAAAATCTTTGTCTATCAAGGATAGACAAATTGTCTTTTAAAATTTATATAAATATTATAGAGCATACATTATTTAACATATATGTATATATATGTTTTTACCAGTTTTTAGCATCGATAAAAGCGTACCTTTTCTCTGGCAGCTTGGCACCCGCGCCGGAATCTCCCGACGTCCTTCCGCCCGAGTGACTGGAGTCCAACGTGCCGTCGAGCTCCATGGCCTGTTGGAGATTCGTCAGACTCTTGTAACGTATGTTGAAGAGCGGCGAACCACCCTTGTAACCCGGCGGCGTTTCCTTCAAGGGCGATGCGCTCTTCTGCCTCATTAGCGGTCGCCCGCGCTGAGTGCCGCTGTTCTTCACGTAGAGCTTCGCCAACGGCGGCTTCTCCACCCGCGGCTGCGGCGCTTCCTTGACCGCACGTCTAGTACGCTTCTCCGCCTGGATCTTCTTCGTCGGTATCGTCTCGATCGGTGGTGGTTCCGGTCGATCGTCCAATAAAGGCGTGATCGTCACCGTTACCGGCGTCAACGGTGGAGTCGAACCCCCATGGCCCGCGGCGAGAGGACTCTCGTAAGGCGACCTGACGCTCTTCGGCAACGGCGCAAAGCCGCGCACGTAGTCATATATTTGATCGATTTCGTCGTACTCTTCCGTACAGGCTGATGACGGTGGTACCCTGTTCTCATCCCGGTACCCGGAGTGTCCGGAGGACGGCTGATGCCCGTTGCTGTGATAGTGATGATGATGATGATGATGGCTAGCGCTGCTGTTTCTATGATGGCTCAACGGTGTGTGATCCGAGTTTGTCGATGGTCTTCTGAGGAAGCCTGAGCCACTCCTCGTCTGCCTAGAGGGCTTGCTCTCGCCCAGACGACCGTCCAACACATGCGCCCGATCAGCCACGTCGGCAACCAGACGGGAGGCGCGTTCCACCAACCTCGTGAACTCTTGCATCGACCTGAGTGCCTCCTCGTTTCGCGCCTTCACCAGCTTGAGCGGCGCCGCGAGCGGCAGCGCAACCGCCGCACCTTCCCTCTGCAGCGGCAAGGCGAATACGTGCTCCTCCTCGAAAGTCGACAGCAGCCTCAACTCGGGCACAAATTGTGACGACGACTTGAGTCCTCGCGGCGGTTGGCCATGTACCAGTCTCACGGTGAGTGGCAGACGTTTGCTGAGGAGCGCCTTGGCGGTGTGCACGCCGCTGATGTTGTCCTCGCGAGCCAGGGCGCTGAAACGTCCACGTTGATCCATTCCAAGCAGAACGCTGTCACCGTGACAGTCGACGCAGCGCAGAAACCGGCCGCGACCGGGTAAGGCCACTTCACCGGCGGTAACGATCGTCTCGCCGGCCGCGAGGGTCCTCGTACCCTCCGGTACCACGATACCTGACTCGTCGTCCACCCGACAGGCGATGCCGCGCACGGTCTCGCGCACCAGAGCACCCTCCTCCGGACATCTTCGCGATAACTCGCTCACCGACTCGATGCCGCGCACCGCTCGGCCTTCCTCGCTCAGGATCTCGAAGTAGCCCGCGTACGAGTCCGGTATCGCCAGTCTGGGCCCCACACCGACTACCCGGCGGCCCTCCTTGATCTTCACCGCCTGCGCCACGATTTTACGCCGACGGCCGGCCGATATCAGCAGCGCGGTGCTCTGCAAGCTCGGTGCCGGTAGGGGCGGCACGCCCAGCCCGCCATACTGGCCCTTCGTGATCTTGATCACAGCTGGTAGACGGTACTTGGAGACGAACTCACGCAGGTACGTCGCCTCCTCGGCCCAGCGTGCCGCTGCGACGACGATCTGACCGTCGGTCGCGGCCATCGCGCGGTCGCTCGCCCGGCACGGCACGACGCCTCCGCGATCCCGCGTCCCCCCGCGCGAGATCGGGCCCGAGAGACAGGGCCCGACGATCAGGCCCCCAACGATAGCTGAACGCTACTGCTGCTCCTGCTGCCCGTGTGGCGCGCCTCTATGCTCCATCTGCAAGCGAGAGAACGATCGCGCTTTAAATACTTTGCGTGACGTACTTGTTTGGGTGTGTATGATAATGAAGACGCATGCGTATGCGAAACAGGCACGGTTCTTGGAAAATATTCTAATTTAATCTCTAATCCTAATTTGCTGATAACCTTCAAAGATATTTTCTTCCGCTGGATTAAAATATCATTGAAATTAAAAACGCGTTTCATATATATATATATAGAGTATCATAAGGAAATCTACGCGTAGATTCTCTTAACATATAGATTATAAAACGGAGAGTATGTATATAATTTAGTTCTATCCATACTCTACTTGCTCATCTCCATAATAATATAGATGATAATAATAATTAATCCTGAAGCTTCTGTTAGCAGAGCTCGTATAACTAATCTCTGTTGCGAAAATATGAAAGGTGCCCGCCTTTACCATGTTAATTTCGACAGACGAATGCCTGCCTTTCGGCACCGCTCGCCATTTCCCCATCGGTTTGATGCACTTTTAATGCATCCTTTCCCACGTGGAGCACAGTTGCGCACTATTGCGGTTCCGTGAAGCGTCCTGCGCCCGCGCGAGAGCTAATGCCGATCCATAGCTATAATATACGCAATGACCCGTCTTGTCATTAGTCAAGTTCCAATTATGGACTGGTTTCATAATTTCCTTAGCAAGGGCAGTCACCACTCGAAACTACGAATGGTAGGTAATCAGTACCGCGGGCAGTGCCTTTGCATCGTCGTAGCCCTCCCTGAAGATCGTCATTCGCGGAAAAGAGATGCGAAACGATCATGAGAAAGCTTCATGAGAAGCAAAATAAAATGCGTATATCAACACTGTTTCAGATATTAGAGAAGCAATGATAATCCAATCCTTTAATTAAGTAACATTTTGTTATTTTTACTTTCGTGTGTATCAAAATGTAAATCAATCCATTTCTGGGGTTGAGTTGCTTAATTTCAAAATAAATATCGTCTATTAACGTATGTATCTAGTAAATAATAAACTAAATTTGAGTCAAGTTTAATACATGTTCTTAAGTTAAGTTGTTTAACTCCATTATTTCAGTTAAATTAACAACATATTAAGTAAGAACAGGGGCGATGTATAAAAACACTTAAAAATTACTCACATTGGGTATAATTTGACATTATAAATTTAACAGTAAAGATAAGGGCATAAAAAATAATATTTCTTCTATACAAGACATCAGTCATATTGTAATCATAATTCCAACAGAAGAAAATAGTTCGTGAAACATATACTTCGATTAAGACAAAAAATCGTGACCTCGTTTTGCGAGTAGTTGAAAGAATGGATTGAGTAAGAATGCAATTCGCAGTAATAACAGGATACCAGATATTTATGGAGCAACACGACGCGATGTTCGTATAGCCCGGAACTTTGTTGTAAGTTATCTACTAAACAAAATAAACATGATGCGCTTGCTGGATGGGTGTGCCTATGATTGTTTCGCCAAAGAGAATCTCGTCCGAGGAAAATAACGGTCATGATTCTGATCGTCGCACTGCGATCTCCGGTATCACAAATAAGCGGTTTCACGCTTGCTTAGATCAACACGGAAATGTCAGTGAACGGTGACAAAAAGATCGTCCTGAGAATTTCTATTACCACACTGATCCGTAAAATGTAAGAGGTTTATACGCCTTTTATTATATATGTATATGATGGCTTTGTAATAATTTACAGTGTAGCGGACCAAATAATAGTACATTGCATTTATAAAATTGAAGCAGATGTGAAATGTAGGAAGTAGATGAAGTATATAGATTGAAGCAAATAAAGTAGTATGTAAAATGTAGGAAACGGAGAAATTTCCTACATACAGATTTTTATCAAACTGTACACGGAAAGAACGATTTTACTGAAATATCTAAAAATTGAACTAATATAGATAGAGATCTGATAATAATTTTCTTAGTTCATAAAAATATTTGTGTAGAAAACTTAAGCATTGTGAGCAATATTGCAAAAAATTTTTTATATTCTAGCAATCAGCTTAAATGTCCTACACAATTTATATATTTTAATAGTTTAACGAATTGTATTTTCAAATCCATATCTAGCTAAACTTTCAGATACTTTAGCAAAATCGTTCTTTAATTCCGTGTACAATGTCATACTTTGGCAAAAAAACACCATCAAGTTACAACAAAAGATTGTAAGTAAATCTTAATAAAAGCTTGCTAAAATACTTTTAGTTTTGATAAACGGCTGCATGATTCGAGATAATTGTGCTAACTTTGAAGTTTGACGAGACTCGCTTGGAGTAATTCATAACTACGATAGCTCACGGTTATTACGTTGCATTAAGACAATATCTATATGCGCCCGACGAAACATTGTTGCCCGTTACCTAACGAAGTGCATGCATAGGTGTACGTGGGATGGGCGTGTCGACGATTGTTTCGGATTTCTCCAAAGAGGATCTCGTTGGAAGAAAGTAACGATCGTGACTCGACGCCTGGCAAGCATCAACTCGGTGGTCTGGATTAAACGATTTCGTGAACCAATCGCTTCTACATCGACGCGAAAATTCCAACACGCCGCAGCCAGAATCCTGAATAACAGATCCTATCTGTGATTAACATTTTCTCTTTTCCGTAAAATCTATTATGCAAAAATGAATGAACCCATAACGTTATAGAACAAACGGAATTGAAAATACTAGATTTTTTAATGAAAAAACCAATATTATTTTTAAATTTTGCGAATTAATGGATTTTGTATAGCACTTAAGGAGATTCTCGCGCTACTTCCCAGTCAATGGACAGTTTATTCACAGTAATACGTAAAACAATTAAAATAATGAAATAAAAAGATTACTAACAATATCTTATGCCATCATATGTAATTGTTGTTAATTTTATATGTTACTAAATATTTTCAAAATGACAAAATAAAAGTTGTAAGATGCTCATTTGATGTATACGCATCGTCTATTTGTACATATATTCTAGCTTTTTTCATTGAAGAATTTAAATTCCTTGTAAACTGTACAGTCAGTTTAAATGAAACTTTACGAGAAAAAACTTAAGTGTTTACTTTATAATTATAACGATTTTTAAATTGCTGTCTTATACGCAAATGTCTCAATTTAAAAGAGAATAACTACAGAATAAGATTATACCTTCAACTTGTAATGTAAAATTCTATAAATTTAGAATTAAATATCTTCAAAACGATACGGTAAAAATCAATGCAATTTTTTCTAGATATTATTGATATTATTAATATTTGTATTACATGTGTGTATATTATAAACTTGTATTATATAATATTTCATCAAACGCGAGAACCTCCTTAATTGATAAAGAAAATCGTGGTTGTGTGTGATCGTTATGAGAATCAGTCGCAATGATGCAATTAACAAAAGAATTTCAAGTTTAAAGTTCCTCATTACAATTATATCTATAATCTATAGATACCGCGTTCCTCGCGAAATAATTGCGGACATAATGTCGCAGTCACTATGTTTAAATCCCATTTAATAACTAATAATGAGATAAGATTGATCAATATTTTTTTCTAAGGATAAATTCACTATTTTTCCTCGTGCAAACCGGCTTCTATAATCACGAAAGCGGTAGATGGATTAATTTTGTTTACGGTAAACCGTGCAACGGCGCTGCGCATAAGCTCCTTCAAGATGGGCCGCAGACAGTGCGAGATAAGAACGAGGTGACCAATGACCCGGGGCTTCGTGACAGGCGCGCCTCTAGGAAGTTATTCGACATACTGCTTCGTTCACCCCTCGCTTCTCTTTCTTTCTCTTCAAATACTTTCTTGGCGTGAACGTGCGCGTGAACTTCCGCGGTTACATCTGAGTGCAAACGGTTCCTATTATGAGATCGGCCAAACGATGATGTAATTAATGTGAAACTTAGTACCCACTATTGGGCCGAAGCGAAAGTTTTCCTGGCGAATCAATGCTCCCATCCACGATCGGCGATAGCCGCGATAGTGCTTTTCAATAGATACTTACAAGCGATATAATACTTTCGTACCTTTTCAGAGAAAACGAATCCCTCCTGTGTGTGAAGCATAATTTATTCCCACACGGAGAAAAATGTACAGTATTATACACTAGAATTCTAGTAAACTTTATGGAATTATCAAGTTCATATAGGGATACGTGCCTACTTATGTAAAATTTCCTCTACCTACATTTCTGGTAAATGAGATTGTCGTATGATAATCATTCTTACTTTATTGACAACAATTTTTTCTTTAGCATTGACAAAATTTACTTTACTGCATAGTAAAATATAAAAGTTCTGAGAGTTGTTTGTGCTCGTCAATCTTGAAAATAGTACGATTTACTTTACTGTAAGTATAATTTACTTTATTGAAAGTATAATTTATCTTACTATAAGATAATAATCACTTGAAATGATGTACTATAATCATAATGTACTTTCTATCTTAAATCTCCGGTATTTTTACTTTTTTAGGCAAATAAAATTTATCACAAATTCGATAAAAAATAGCCAGAATATTTTTACTAGTCTTGGAAGGTATCCATCTCTAAATTATTTTTCTCCGTGCATAGTATAAATATACTACATTTAGTTAATTTTTATTGTTGGATATTTTTTTCGTGATCTACATTGAAATTCTTATGGTTTTCAAATAAAGTACATAGTTTTCATAAAAAATACATCCGAAAACAAAAATCCTTATGATTTAACTTTTTCAAACAACATAGCATTCTAGTATAAATAGGCATTAAAATTTAATTCGAGCAAATTGTTTCATTAAACGTTCTCATCGAAAAAGGAAAACAAATCTCTCGGCCTATGTTCATTTCCGTTTCTGAGAATGAATTCATGAGGAAGCCCTTATTTCTCTTGACTCATAGCACGGATTTTTTTTCCGTAAGACCTAAATTAACTTCAAATTGCAAGAGAAGATTCTATGTTTAAGGCATCATCTCTCCGACAGTTCTGGGGCACTCTGCGCGGACGAGTTTCTTGCCGACC